AAATATCCGACAGCGAAACCAAGCGAGCTACAGAACTGCAGCTACCTTAGACCAAGGGAAGGCAATGCAGACAAGGGTGGGGCATATTTGAGGGGTTGGTGTTTGGTCATCTCTCAATATTAAAATTATCAAGCATTTTTTCCTTGACCAGTTTTTACCAGAATTTAATTTTTAGATACCTCCAGAGTGTAAGTACAGAATATATTATTTTTAAACTTGCCTTCTAAATTGTAATGAAGGTACAATGCATGTTAACATTTACGGGTTACATTATACATTTGTCAGCATATCTCCATCATATAATAACATACATTTGTCAGCATATCTCCATTAGTTGCAATATCGTGAGATGAAGTGTCTGCATCTTACTTTGTTTGAAAATGCAAATCAAAACAAGAATTGATTACTAGTACATGTTTTGTTCCAAGTTAATGGAGGCTCTCAGATGGTGTGTTGTTAATAACATATACATGTATTGAGGTGTTGTGATGTTAGAAAAAGGGTCTGGGATGAGATTTCTCAATCAAGTTTTTTTATGTATCACACAAGCTGCAGGTGAGATGAAAAATCTCTCGCATGACAAACCTCATCCCAAGCCTTTGTTGGTGTTGGATTCTATTAGTCTCACAACTTTGATATACTGTAGAATACTTTATTTTCGCTTGGAATTTATTTTCGCTGAAGGGATGATTCCGTGAAAATAAAATCCAGCGAATATACTTTTTTTCCTATATTTCACATTAAACTCATCAAAAATCAGTGAAAATAAATTCCAAGCAAAACGCCCAAAAAGCCTTTTCAGCGAAAATTGAATCTAGCGAAAATAAAGTATTCCACAGTACCGTATAGCTCTCGCTTAAACTGTCGTATAAATTCAACCATTTTTTGTCTTCTTGTAATATTTGTATCATGCATTTTGTATATAATACACTGCCATATTCTTGATAATTGTATTTATATTTGATTATTTCGTAAATAATTTGATTCTAACACAACATAAGCTTGAGTGAGTGTATAAAAGTTATGCTAAGCATATTAAGACATCCAGTGTACAAGTTAAAATGTGACACAAATCATTTGATTACAAAATGTTGCTGTCAGAAACGCAGCAGACAACTACCGTACTTGACCGCGTTATCGCCCAGGGGTCTCAACTCAGAAAATCATGATTTTTTAGGCGTGGGTGCTTGCCCGAGCACCCCCTCGAAAAAGAGTGCAAATGAAGAATTTGATTCATCAAGTAACAGATTACGTCTTTGAGGGACAATCAAATTATGAAATTAGTTGAATCGTCATTGATTTTCACAATGAAGAAACAGAAATCACAAAAAATATGCACATTTTATTACAATATTAATTACGTACCACCAGAATTTACGAAATTAAAAACATTTGAGTCTGTTGGAACACAGTCGAAGTCAAATCTGTCATATTATCTCCACTGATGAAGGTGTTGGATCGTACGCAAACTCTTGATGAAAATCACTTTCTGCCATGATGCATTTGCAGCGTCTTTTGACCTAATGGGTCAAGTTGGCTATTAACCAATCAGAATGCTGTGTTGTACTGATGCAATTCTTCGGAAACTCCAAAAGACTTTCCGGTAACGCAATGCGGAAGTGAATTATCGATGTCGAAGTACGACCTGTTGGAATTGATTTCAGTGAATAAACGACATGGTTTTTCCAAAAAAGTAACTAGCCATTTTGAGAGGTAAACTGGATGTGGCATGAAATATTTACCACATTTTACTTATATTAACAGGTTATTGTCGAAGTGTACTTTACGCACGGTTACCGATATCCACGCTGTATTATATAAAAACGATTACCAAGATTCGTTATGCAAGACCAAGTTTTAAAGTAGTTGCATTTTGAAGGGGTGGGCGCTTTGCCGAATGTGACCCCAAATATGAAATTGCGCAAAAGTGGGGGCTTGCCCGGGCATGAGCGCTAATGCGGTCGTGTACAGTATAATCAGTGTTCTCCCCAGGCTCAGAGGCAAGCATGGCGGTCTAATTTGCATACTAATTTGCATATTTTTCAGGATTCACTCTCACAAAAACAAACATACAAGATAGTATTAAAATGTATGAGAGACTTTATTTAAATTACATAATACTTTACATAATATACCATAATTTGACAAGATCGTCATTTAATGTGAACTGTTCCATAAAACTTAGTCTAAACTAATCCTTCTGACTTTGTTGTGCTCCAAACATTGGCTGCCTTACTGTAGTTAAACTCGTCATAGACGTGCTTTGAACATTAACTGCACAACATTCCTAGTGGGAAAAAATGAAAAATAATAAAAAAACAAAACAATGAGGATTGAGGTTCAAATAAATGTAACATAACAATTGAATTGTGCCACGATCGGGAACCCAGTG